GTTCTTCACGGCAACCTGTCAAAATAAAAGTTTAGTTTAACGTTCTACTGTCAGAATATATTACTATTTAGCAGTCTTAAGACAATGCTACTACTGCTAATAAATATTAATAAATCTTTATTTTTAAAGGAATAATCACATCTGTTTTCTTTTAAATTTTAACAGTAAACCTCTGTTGTGCAGCACTTTGTTTGGCAAAAAAATAAAAGGGTTTAATTTTCATTATAAATTAAATAAATGTTTTATGCCTTCATCTGATTACCAGAAAAATTAAGAACATTTTATAGGGCCCTACTATTGTTTAAAAAGGACCCTATACAAAACAAAAAGAATAGGTTTAAAATACAGGCATGTGGTTCTTAATTTCTTTTTATTAATTCACTATTTGTAAACTGATGTTTACTGTTCATTTTTTTTAAATATCAATAGCATTTGTATTAAAACTATATTCACTGAATGTAATAAAAAAAAATCGAGAAACGAATCGAATCGAGAGCTTGCGAATCGAAATCAAATCGGGATATCTGAATTGATACCCAGCCCTATTAGTAATAGAAAGGCAAAGATTTTAATACTTTCTTGTTTGCCGTCAGCATTCAGCAAATACGCATTTATATCATTTAAACAAATCTTTGAATGACTAATGAACATTTAATTTCACAAACCTTGCTAACTTAGTCGGATCCAGTTGTGAGATCTTGTGAAGTGTGCATTTGTATCCTGCATGATCGCGTGTTCTCTGCATGACGGTCGGTCCGTGTGAATTGAATGCGGACAGGTGGAGAGTTCAGCTTCACTGGAGATGCGCGATCGACAAACTTTACTCATGATTTTAAATTATGCTGCGCTTTATTCATTTGCCCACTGCCATATTCATGTCATTTTCACTGTGTGGTGTATGTAAAATGAGTGTTAACTTGGCTTTATTTGAAAATATATGATTCCCAATGCACACAAACTTCCCAGAATACTGAGTGCCCTTTTGGTTACAGTGCTTACTTCCTTTTTAATTATATTTTTATTAAATATTTATTTATTTGCGAAAAATACTTTGTCATCTAAAGTATAAGTATGTTTATTTAACACATTTATTTTTTAATCCATTTTTAAATGATTTTTAAATTTCTTAAATATGAATTAAAATAAAGTTATATCTGCTTTATATCGGCCACCCTGCTTTCCAAGATATCGGCATCGGCTGTCAAAAAGCCAATATCGGTCGACCACTAATCAAAATAACTAGCTTACAAAAGCATGCTCGATTTAATGCATGCTAGGTATAACAAATATAGGCCGACACTTCAGATTTTGATTGAAAACATTATTATAATTATTTTTTTAGCAATAATTTTGACCAAACAGCTATTGTAACCATTTGTACACAAAATGTTTAATGCTAAAATACAGTTTTAAAAATTCCACAAAGTTTTATACTAAAAATCACAAGAATGCCGTTTAATCATTGTCATTTAAATGCATCAATATACCAATAAACAGTAAAACAACATCTACCAACATATCGTTTTTGCAAAGTAAACAAAGCAGAAAGCAATGACGCACACAAATGGACAGCTTTAACCGAATGTCAAATTAATTGAACTTGACTTTACAAATCATGGTTTACTCACCCTCATGTCATTCCCAACCCATTTGATTTCTTTTTCATTGATCACAAAAAGAGAGCTGCCGAATAATGCAAATAATGACATCTTGGCCTCTTTATCACATAAAACTACTGTATGCCTTCAGTCAAGTGGACTTTATCAAACTTTTTTGTGCTTTCTTTGGAGCTTGCAGTTATTTAAAAAATAAAAATCACAATGAAAGGAAAACAGGGACTTTGATATTATGCAAAATGACTGATGGTGAGTAAATGATGACAAAAATTTCAGTCAGACTAACTTGCAACAGTTAAATCATAAGCAACTAATCACTAAACACTAAACGATCCACCATGACGACAAGCAATTTATTACTGGTAAAACTTTAAACATCTGATTTACAAGCAAATGCCTTTTACAAGCCACGAGTTGCCAATTCTTACAAGGATGATTCAACATACACCTCTTTTAGGACATTTACTGTATCCTTTCATATATCTCTGCACAAAGCAAACCAGTCAATCTGTTAAAGTCTGAGTCTGAAAGGGAAAAACAGTCAAGGAATCAGAATAGAGATAGGATGTGGTTTAAATCTGCAGGATACACAGCCATCAAAAGCCAGATATGATGTGCTATGTTAACGTCCAGTTTCAAATCTCATGTGCATCTTCAATGACAGAAACTGTGTCACTTGAATAAAGAGTCCAAAATAAACCACTGCTACAATCTATTCTTTCAGTCTTTTCAGTCACACAAACATGACACTTTTAAAGCAGAGAGCTGAAAATGACTACAGTGATCATGACGAAGATGAAAAGAGATTATTAGATTTGTAGATTATTCATCATGTGTCAGCATCTACCAAAATGCACACACCCATGTACACTCACACACACACCTTGAAGTAAACCTTGACATCATTCCAGAAAATACCTCTGAACAAATGACAATGACGGCACTCAGTTGGGTCATTAATTTACTATTGCCATTACTACTGTTTACTCAAACTTCATCTCAACAGAACCCAACATGAATGAATTGTAGATTTCCGTGAAAAGTAATATTTCCAGTAAAACATGTTGGCATGACATGGCAAACGCTGAATTGATTTTATTCTCTCGTGAGCTGGAATGAAGCATGACATTGCATTCTGCCATTTTTCGCTCACTAGCAGCACCAAACAGAATCACAAAAAATTACTGTCTTCAAACAGGTAGTCCCTTCTAATTGGTAGCTGGATGACTGATTGACTGGTTGACAAATGTGACCGATCCACCATTGATTAATCAATTTTGAAAATATGTATGTAGAATTAGTAGGCATTTCTATCACATTCAGTTCCCTAAATCCCCATTTGTGAAACCCTGACCTAACAAATCAAGGACACCATCAACAGATTTACAATCTAATTTACAAAAAACAGCAGACTGAGCCTATTTTATAAGAGCTTAGTTACGAGGTAAAGTGAGAGGGGCTTTATGTGATTAAATCACCTGATACACAAGCAAACCAACATGTAATTACTGGTGTACCATCAGCATTTGATTCAACCATCGCTTTATCATCCTTTTTTTTTTTAATGAAAGCAAATGGACAAATGGCTAATAAAAGGCTGTTGAATGATCACCTGTCAAAGGTCTGTCTTGGTCTTGCCCAGATCTAGTGCATTTGTTTGGAGCACAGACAGCAAGGAGTGTCAAATGACTGCACCTGTGAGCCTGACACGTGCTTGAAGAAAAGCCCTGACTGATGTGTCACTCAAGAAAAAGTCAATCTGTCATTAGCCTTTGATGACTGTCTCAGAATCTAGGGAGGTGTCTACCTAGACAGCATTTTAAGGCATCACAGGTGTGCATAAAATGTTCAATACGCTGTCTAGATAGGCTACCTAATAGGTTTTGACAAAGCACTTAAGTATTGTCCCCTTAGGCCGCAAGGGAGTGCTAGGGGTCTATGGAAAAGTTTACAGAAAAACTGTTAAAATTGCATTAATAATAAGATTTTAAATAATAATAATTGATTAAAATCAAATTTAAAAAGGTTAAATTAAATAAAAAAAATAAATACAAATATTACTAAAATGAATAAATAATACAGTAGGAAAATTGTGTAATAATGCAATAGAAACTAAATATTTTCCAAACAAATTAAATAATAATTACATTTATAATATGACCTTTTCAGGATCAATGAACATTTCAAAGATCATCAAATTTGCCGGTCCCTGGCTGGACTAGAGCTGATAGCACAGTGAATCGTTTAGATCTTGTGAACTGGTTCAACAGATTCATCGAAAAGATTCACCTCAAACAAACGACTCGTTCACGATTCGGGCAGGTTCAAACTGAACGCAGTTTTGCGGTTCAATACGCTACTTTTAAATGAACTAGATGGAAGTCTGACTATTTTGCCGCCTTTTGCTGCTTTTCAGCGTTTTTGCGCATTATGGACATATATATATATATATATATATATATATATATATATATAACATTAATTTTTCACAGCATAAAGTTGATCTTTTACACACACACAAAATATATATATATAGCTGCTTTTTTAATTCTAGGATGGGGTTCAATTAAATAAGGATGATCATATTTGGGGGTTTGTAGCATCTAAAAGATTGAAACCCCCTGGTCTAGGAAGCCAACACACAATGTTTTGAAATACAGCATAATGTCACCTGTGATGCCCTAAAAACCTGTCTAGGTAGGCAGCTTACTAGGTTCTGAAATACAATCCAAAAATGATACCACCTTTAATGCTCTAAATGTTGTCTTAGTAGTAGGCAGAGCACTAGATTTTGAATACAGCAAAAAAAATAAAAAAATATGCACCCTATAATGCTGGCTATGTACGTTTTTTAAAATATATATAAAAAAAAAAACGATGACCCCTATGATGCTAAAAACGTCAAGTTCATTACGTTTTCTGAATATAAAACAAACATTGTACCATCTAACATTATAATGCCCCAAAAAAAGCTGTCTAGATAAGGTTTTCAAACACAGCCAATGGCTGTGATAGAGGACAGTAGGAAATAAGTGATGTCAGTCCAGCTCACAAGGCTCGTTAAAAACCACCAAATCACCCAAATCTGCTTTTGGTGAGCCTGGATTTTTAAATGCAATGTGTGTTTGATGGATGTATGTGTCTTATTTGTGTTCGAGGAGAAACAGCAGCTGTGGATGTGAAAAACAGGAGTGGTTGTTCCCCACCCCCATCCATCGGCCTACAACAATGAACAACAAACACTTCACATTTCATTCACATTTATCGCCGTATCCACATCTAATTCGGCGCACAGGTATACTCACGTGTAAAATTAATCATCTTACCCCCAAAATCCACAAGGGCAGCGGGGAGGAATACTAGGCGGCTTGCTGCGCTCGCTTCCTGTGTCCCCCATGGCGGCGATGTGAAGGCGGCAGGTTTCTGCAGGAAACAACGGGGATCTGCTCGCGGCCTAAAGCTTTTGCGGGAATTCCTCGGCTCGACGTTTAATCAAAAATGCTTTACAACGAAATCCCCGAGCTGAAAACGCAGCGTAAGATGTGCAAGATGCAGACACGAGCGGCCGTTACTATGAATTCGAGGTAATTTTGTCAAAAATCAAGAAATTAACGGCCGCGTACAGTCCGACGGACCGCACCGGGAGTCGAGGCCGATCAGCTGGCGAGTGGAAGATACCAAGTCTTGAATAGGGTTTTGTTAGTCATAAGTACAAATCATTTAAACGATAATAACATTCCGGTTTTGCTCATATTTGCACAAAATCTTGTTGTTAAAAAGTGTAATACATAATATGATATTTATGTGTTCGACCATATACATTAATATCACGTCAATAGAGCTTTAGCGATCCAATGTTCCCCAAAAAGAAAGTGGAACGTTCCAAGCTGTATTCCTTGTTTGTAAAGGGGATTTGTGCTTTAAAGCTGTTTAAGTACAAGACCTGCAGCAGACCCCTACATACGGTAGCCTTGACTTCAACGCATATTGAAGCAAAATACAACAATTATATTAAAAGAATGAAATAACACTTCAAATACATGACATTGAATATCACATTGACAACACACTGGCTCAAGGCCATACAGTTTTGTCTCTTTCTTTCTCTCTTGGAAGGGTGGGATACCAGTGATTGAATTGTATATACAAAAATGTTAACCTAGATAGACAGACAGACAGACAGACAGACCGACAGACAGACAGACAGACCGACAGATAGATAGATAGATAGATAGATAGATCGACAGATAGATAGATAGATAGATAGATAGATCGACAGATAGATAGATAGATAGATAGATAGATCGACAGATAGATAGATAGATAGATAGATAGATCGACAGATAGATAGATAGATAGATAGATAGATCGACAGATAGATAGATAGATAGATAGATAGATCGACAGATAGATAGATAGATAGATAGATAGATCGACAGATAGATAGATAGATAGATAGATAGATCGACAGATAGATAGATAGATAGATAGATAGATCGACAGATAGATAGATAGATAGATAGATAGATCGACAGATAGATAGATAGATAGATAGATAGATCGACAGATAGATAGATAGATAGATAGATAGATCGACAGATAGATAGATAGATAGATAGATAGATCGACAGATAGATAGATAGATAGATAGATAGATAGATAGATAGATAGATAGGGAAATAGAAATGCAGAAAAAAACACTGAACAGGAGAGATTTCATTTCATGTTCACATTTTTATTAATAGAATATTCTAGCAAAGTCAGAATATATTTTATACACATAGATACTATATTATAGCAGAACCTGGACGTAGTTGTTACACTCTTTAATGCAGTGAATATTTCTTAGTTTACAAAAAAAATTAATTCTTAAGCATTTATTTTCAAAAAGCAAAATTTCTTAATAAGCATGTCGCCCAGGAAATAAAAAGTTGCAGTAAGAGCCATTCGTGCAAACAGCAAAAATGTAAAAAAAAAAAATATA